AGTTGTATTAGAGCACTGCTGTAGCTCTTATATCAGATCAACAAATTCACATTTAATTGAACCTATTACTGATTTATTTTGTAGGGCTGCTTGAACAATGGACCCTTTTACTCACCAGCCTTTGTCCAGAGATTTTGTCACATGCTTTTGATCAGGCTTCCTCACCAAGTAACCCTCAGTTTGCATTTGGGAGCTTGTTGACAAGGCTAAAATGGAAAGAGATGAATTGAGGAGGTGGGGAGTGTTGTGGTGGCTTTGTGGTAGTCTTCCATAAAATTTATGGATTAGTTGGTGGCATGGCATCTCTCAGTGCATCTGTCCGATATAGTTATCCTCTTTGGCCTGCAGGGGCAGTTAAAGTTATATGCAAGTCAATTTGGTGTTCTGTTGTGTTTTGAATTTGAATTGTAGCATGAACTGGGATGCAGTTTTTGCTCTAGGATTGAAGTGATTTGGATTCCACAATTCTTGACTCTTTGTTTCTGATTTATTATGACGTCATTTTCTCTGATTGAAAAGACAATGATGGAAGAAATATTAGTTTGGGCATCAGTGCAGGGCTTTGACTAGCAATACTCTAATGCTAACATTTTCCCACTCATTCTCATTACTTCGGCTAATCCCAAGGGCTTACGCCCAGGCCCTTAAATTAATGCTTCTATTTAGGAGTATTTGCTTAGCATGACCCATCAAAAAATGAAAAGAAGAAGAAGAAAAGAGGAGTTGCTCCTATTAAATCAATAGCATAAAGAACTAATTGTCAATTGATTTTGTTTTTATCTTTTCGATCCTCTTAAGTCAATCTTTATTATCATGCAATGGAAAGTTGACTATAAAATTTAGGATCCAGTGCACAGTCAGAAATGAGGCGCTAATATAATAGTTTATATTAGGCATTGCAGACATATAATATCACCACTACCATCAATTATAACAAAGCAGGAAGCTGCTAAGCAAGTGGCTTACTATTATATATGTATATACTATACATAGACTAAAACCATAATCATTCAAGTGAGAGGTTAAATTGTTTCGGATTTGAGTGATTTTTTACATGAATGATCTGTAAGGTAATAATTAAAAAATAAAAGGTTCAAATAATTAAATACAATGCCGAATGAGGATGTCACTCAATTAAATCTCTTTGTATAATATATATATACATGATGTCTTTCTCAGTTATAGAGGCGCCGATGCACACAACAATTTTACATACAATCTGCACAGCAAGTTGCTTCAAAAGGGAATAAAAACCTACCTTTATAGAAGAGGAGAAGAACTTCCATTGCCAATGCTTCTCAACGTTATTGAAGAATCAAGGGTTTCAATCATCATATTCACTGAAAATTTTGCATCCTCCGAGTGGTGCTTGATTGAACTGGTTAAGATCCTCCAATGTAGAGAATCAAAGAAACAAATTGTTTGGCCAATTTATTACAAGGTGGATCCTTTGGATGTACGTGACCAGCAAGGTAGTTTTGGTGAGGCAATTGCTAATCATGAATGCACATTCAAGGATAACATAGAGAAGGTGTTGGGATGGAGGGCAGCTCTTACAGAAGCAACGAAGTTGTCTGGGTGGTATTTCTTGCACGGGTATTTTTTTTTAACCATGCTATTACTAGCTTTTTAAGTTGTTTTTTTTAATCTCGTTCTCTATTTAAAATTGATAATTTTTTTTTTTTTTTTGGACAAAGTGATGTTCTAAACTTCTAATTTATGGGAGCAAGCACGCTGCCAGGGACGTACCCACTAGCATGCTAACCTGGGCTAAAGCCCAGACAACTTGTTTTTTTGAAGACTAAATTAATACTCTAGCCTAGGTCATTCAAATAAAATATTATTAACTAATCCTACTAAGATTAGGCTAATCACCCAAATAAAATATTATTAACTAATCCCACTAAGGACTAGGCTGACCAACAAATAAATAAAAAGAACTAAACCCCACAGTTATTACCTTATCCCGCTACTGTGCCTGTCTATTCCAAAATCACTATACTAGGTAGAGACATTCCCTCTCTCCTTTACCCCCCAAAAAAAAAAAAAAAAATTCCCTCTATCTCTTGCGCAGTAGCAGACCATCCGCTAGCGGCTAACTCCTGCTCTTCGACAAAAAGGAAAATTAGGCATGTCCTCATACTTAATTAAAGCAAACTAAGGTAATCTTCCATTCTTCATCTTCTTCTTTTTTGAAATTTTGGGGATTATTTAGGGTTTATGAAGTATCAATGAAATTTTAGGGCTCATTATGTCCCCCTTTGTATTTTTTTTGTTATCAATGAAATTTACTCGTGTCGTTGAGTTTTCAATAGGTACATAAGGTAAATTTAGCCCACGCCATTTTGAAATCCTGGGTCCGTCCCTGCACGCTGCCATAGCTTAACCCACATCTATATACTCTATACTATGATATGTAATAACATATATATTTTTTTAAAATATAAACCAAAGATTTTTCATGAACTAGTTCCTTCAATTCTGCTTGAAAATAGTACATCTAGAGCATGTTCTTTGTTTCAGTTACAGCCCATGAGTTCGTTGACTTTTTTTAAAACCTATATGTAATATCAAAATGTCATATCACCAATGTTTCTTATTTTTTTACTGGCAGGCACGAATCTAATTTCATTCACAAGATTGTTGAAGAGGTTTCAACACAAGTATTAAAAACACCAATTTGACTGTAACAAAGAACTTGTGTACAAGATATGAATGAACTTTTGGCATGTTTGGTGAGTTGGATTGGATTAAAATGGACATGGCCCAATTTATTGTTTGGTTTCATTCTCTAGTGGGTTTTCTTCCATTTCCACAGTTGAGTCCATCACATTTTTGCAAAGGTATTGATTTCCTTACTTTAGTTGCGCTTCATGTTCTGTTCTTTCTTTTGAGACACATTTTGATTAATTAATTTTTTTCGATATCATGTTGTTGATAATATATCCAAGTTCCAACAATAATTGTTCCTATGATAGGTATATGGGGGATTGAAGGAATAGGCAAGACAACAATTGTTAAAGCTGTTTATAATTCAATTGACTATGAATTTGTAGGCAGCAGTTGGAGGTGAGCAATGTTGATGAGAGAGTCAATGTGATAAAGAAATGGTTAAGCCACAAAAGGGTTCTCTTAATTCTTGATTTGGTACAAAAATTTCAAGACAAAAATTTTGTGAATTTTTATTCTTGTATTTCTTTTCTTAGACAAATAAAACAAAACTCAGTTTTGGATAGCCGCATTCCGTTCGTGCATATGCCACTATTATTTATAGGTTTGACTTTAGTCAAAGATGGTTATTGGGCCTCTTGGAATCTGGGGATTTACTAAAGACACCCAATCGAAGAAATTAAGGATCCAGTAATCTCAGTCCTTGGTTTATGGATAATTAAAGTCATGGCTGTGACGCCATCAGTTTTGAGAGAAAAAAATATATAAAAGGATTATTGATTAAAAGAAACTCAAAAAATCATGAGAGATTCACTATTATACCTAATATAGAAGCTCAAATTATAAAAAACTCTATATGAAATGGACTTTAGAAACACACCCAAAACTCATTTACAACATAACAAAAAGGCTTTTAACTTCTTTTAAATTACAAAACTGCCATTGACTTTTTAAAACAAACCTAACCCCAAAACCTTATAAAAAAGCTCAAAACACTTAATAGAGTATCAAAGTAATTTAATAATTAAAATTCAATTCAATTGGGCTCGCTGTTATTTTTTGGATTTATTTATAGAAATTAAATGGTGTATAATTTATTTATAGTTTTAGTGCTAAGAATGGATATACGACTAAATATCTCAAAAATCAACTTACATATATATGTGTTGACCAGGTAGGAAAACAGAAAAAGAGAGAGTCAATCTCGTTACAACTTACAAGAACTGATTGCAACACTACATTGAGAATTAAAGTTAAGGGAAAAGATGTGGCTTGTAGAGTGCAACGCGATATTGAGTTCGATGAAATGGGTCTGCCTCCGCCCAGAAAGAGAGCACATCCCCAGCTGCAATGCCTCCGTCCTTGGCAAACACTCTCCATGCTCTAGACTGGAAAACTGGCTTTCTGTATTTGCCCCGTCGTCTGCCGGATAATTTGAACTCGTAAACCCGACGCCTTTGGTTGTTGAAAACTCTGATCGGGACATCCCGATCTGGATCGACACGAGGTAGCATCGCAAGCATGGTGCTGGTCACTACAAGTCTTTTAACATCTAAGGCCTTCAACACTTTCTCAAAACGATCAAGCTCCATGGAACTCTCTCTCCCTCTCTCTCTCTCTCTCTCTGACAAAATGATGACCAAAAAACTAGCGACTTTGATCACCGGCGCTACATGCCATCCTGTATCTGCTAGTTTTAAGTTTAATATATGTACATATACATAGGCCAAGAATGATGTGCACCTTGGCGTGACATATCCTTTTATGCGAACTGCGGTTTGTATTTTTGTTGCCAAAGAGATTTGCCCTGTAACACTACAATACTGAAACCCATCTCGATTACCAAACACAAACTTTGTTGCCAAAGGGGAATTGCCCTGTAACACTACAATATACTGAAACCCATCTCGATTACCAAACACAAAAGGCTTCCCTATACTCCATCAGCCACGCAGCTCACCTATATATTTGTGTCTTTCCATTTCCATTTCCATCGCTTTCTTAAAATATTCGTTTTTGATATATCAAACCCATCATCCTCACTAGTCCCTTTACTGATTGAAAATCTTGGATACAAAACTATAAGGGTTCAGCTTTTAGGTAGCCTAGGAATCCATGGTTTTCTGGAGTTGAGCTAGTGACGATTGGTGGGTTTCTTTTTGGCGTAAGATATGTAGGAAATCAATTCTTGATCATCTTGAATTTGTCCAGCCAAATAATCATGGGTGCCAACTCGAGGCTCGAGGCAGCGAGAGGTCGGTGGTGGGGTTTTTGTTTTTGCCCATGAACGGGAAGAAGCTCTGATACCAGAATTGGTAGAGTGCACAGAATTAATTAAAAGGGAATATGCAGAAGGAATTGCATTCATTCATTGACTGGTCCAAAAGATGACCAACTTCACTGAAATCACTCACTTAGAGGACTTGAATATCTAAGCTCCTATGTAAGTTAAGTTGAAGTTGATTCTTCTGTTGCATTAATTCCTTGATAAAGCTTGTTGGCTACAGTAAAACTGAGTACTATGGTGTTCAAAACTCATAACCATAAATAACCAACATTATTGATTTATTTTGTCGGCTGCTTCAACAAAGTGGACCTTTTTAGTGATCAGCCGATCTGCCTAGAGATTTTGTCACTTGTTTTTTTATCAGGCTTCCTTCTCACCAAGTAACCCTCAGTTTTCATTTCGGAGCTTGTTCACAACGCTCAAAGGAAATAAATGAATTGAGGAGGTGGGGAATGTTGTGGTGGCTTTGTGGTACGTAGTCTTCCTGAAAATTTATGGATTATTAGTTGATGGCATGGCATCTCTCAGTGCATTTAGATCCTTCTTCTGTTACATGTTTGGCTGCTTCAAGATTGAGCTGGAATGGAATGGATATTTAAAGTTATGTGTGTTAATTTGCTGTTCTGAGTTTCAAATTGGTAATAACCTTTCAATTGTGCAACAATTATGCTATGTGTTTTTTATTCCACAGTTCTTAAAATTTTGTTTTCTGATTTATGACTTCATTATGTTTTTTTTTTAATTGAAAGGTAAATATGAGGGAAAATTCAATGTTATTACTAGTATCAAACAAGAGTTGGAGAGGAAATGCGAAAAAATAAAAACATATACCTGATGCTAAAAGCACTACCAAAACCAATTAACTACATTTACAAATTCTATGCTCGGCCTATAATTTGTCGAGTAATATATACTAGAGACGCTAACTTATTATACTCATTTGTGGATACCAATTAATGTGACAATGTTTCATTTTTATTATGAACTCACTCTGACATCATTTATTCACAGCAAATAAGAAAATGCAACGTCAATTAGTGTCTAAAAGTTAGTGCAATAAGTTAGTGTATTTATTGAATTTGTCCTAATTTAGTTTGAATCAAATTTTTAGTGTCTAATAAATACTCAATCAAATCCCTTATCGATAAACCAAATATAATAACATATGATTACGTAATTGCTGCATCGATTGAGGCTTTTTTATTTTTTTAATTAGTGAGATCCAATAGGTTGCTACCCCTTTTTAACATTAGAACTGCGGCCGCAAAAATTGAATCTATATCATTTGTCTTATAATGAAAAAGTGTAGGTTATGCACTTGGTGGGATCTACAAAATGAGAAAGTGTTTTATATATTGGATATAGAGATTCTTATAAGAACAAGATATCATATATCTGAATGGAGAGATGGATATACAGCTGCAAATCATCAATAATATTTTAATATGAGGCATTCAAAAGCAAGAAATGTAATAGAATGATATTTTGGGTTGTTGAAAGCTAGTCAAAACAAGAGGAAAAGAGGCTCAAGTGATGAAGACATAATTGTGAATGCATTGGAAAAATTGTTTGAAGTATCTGGAAAAAGGATGCAAATGGTGACTGATGTTTTCTTAAAAGGTAATGAAGATCGATCTGATATTGCCAAAGAAGTCAAGGAAATGGGATTTTCTGATATATTGAAAACACCACAAGTGCATCTCCCACCTTAGAAACACCATAAGTAGCTGCTATAGCTTTTGTTTTTGCTGCTTTATCAGTCTCAGTTTGGAATTGTGGATGTTTATTTATATATGTTATTTAGCGGGTTTTTGGTTGATTATTATTATTGTTAGTCTGTGCGCTTGTGGAAAGTAATATGTGAACTTGAATTTGTAATTTCAAGCCATGTGGATGACTTTTGCACATATATAAAATATTTAACTTTTGCATCTATAAATATTGTATGAATTTTGCTTTATATGATGTTGGGATGGTTTGGAGCTTGTCTCACCACCATGTTTGAATGAAGAAATGAAGAATAAAAGGGTAGAGGTCATGTGCCTAATGGTTCGGCAATTGACAAACAGACATTTTGTTTTTGCAATTACTTAGTGACGGTTTGTCAATTTGCATTAGGGAAGTTGAGCTTTCACATTTGGGAAATGTTCTTAAAATATAGGCAAGTTTTGGAAAATTTAATACCAATTTTTGGTCTTGGAATTATAGTAAAAATAGTTGATAATTAAAATATTATCACTTCAACGAAAATTTTAAATTTTTTTGTCCCAGTCCGAACATAAACCAAACACATGATAATATCTAGCTTCTTAGTCCAACGCAGCACTAAATGTAGGTCAGTACTTAATCCAACTTAAACCAAGCCAAGCCAATTCAAGATAGTCCCAGAATTTAGTTCAGTCCATAACAGTCCGTCGTACCAAACATGGTGATCGAACTGGTGCCATGGGGGGAGAAGGGAAGGGCCTCAACCACTGAGGTAACACCAATTGTACAACTTCTAAAATGAAGTAGAACTATATAAACAAACCCAACGTTAAGTCGAAAAGATACAATCCCCTACAGGAGCAACATATATGCAAAAACATGCATGCCATACATTACATCTTTAACTTTAAGCGTACTGTAATAGTAATATATATCATAGGCTGCACCCTCTATATCAATCAAGTGCGGTTTGATCTGTGCTATATTTGGTACAATTTAATAATCTTGCTACTTAATATATTTTACTATAGCTCAGTGGTAGAGGATGGCAGAGAGAGAGAGAGAGAGAGTTTCCACAAAGCGAGGAACGAATCCCAGCTAAGCCCTTTTACAACAAGATTCTCCATTTTCATTATATTATTTCCATTCCTAATTCCTAGGAGGTGGAGCTCTCCTCTCATCATTTGCTTGATTTTTGACCCTATTACACTAAAAGGCAATTAAAATGACTTGTTTTTGGACAAACTAAAGTGGTCTGGACCCTTTTCTGATTGTGACTGTTATACCAACAAATATTTTGTTATGAAACATCAGAAAGCACTTACGTGAATTGGTGATGTCAGATTTCTCTTATATAATAGCATCCGAGTGAGCTGAGCTCCTCTAAAGCAATAAAACATCAGAAGATAAGTAGCTAAGTGAACATTTTGTAGTTTGGTACTGAATTCATTTGTAAAGAGGGAGTGATGATATCGATGGAGCCTGCACACGGTGTGCAGAAAGTGATCTCGGCCACCGATGTTGGGAGACTTGTAGTGACCAGAGAAATTCTTGCTGTGCTGCCTCCTGTCAATCCAGGTAATGCTATCTCAATCAACGTTTTCGATAGGCAAACAGATCGGGTTTACGTGTTCAAGTTAGCTGGTAGGCGCGGCAGATACCTGAAGCCAGTTCTCCAGTCTCGAGGATGGAAACGCTTTGTCAACGACAGAGGCATTACTGTTGGGGACGTCGTCTGCTTCTGGGAGGAGGAAAACCCAACTTATCAAACACAATACCGAATTGCACTGTTCAAACCACATCTTTTTCCCGGCCACCCAGATCTTCATGGTGTCTAGAAATTAATGAGTTAGCAGCAGCAACATGTTTGTTTTGTGTTATAATAATCCAAAAGCCCTACCTATCTCTATGGTCTAGTCGGTTATTCATAGTGTGTGCTTCTTCGTCTTCATGTCAGTGTCCCTGTCAATCAATCACCATCTGTGCATTTAGTCATTTTTATTCCTTGGGTGTTTGTCTGTGTGTACTTGTTGCAAGTACTGTTATAATGTACTAGCATTGTGGCTTATATATGTTGAATGAAAAAACATAAACTTTGCTGTTGTTATGAAGATGGCTGGAGGATTTTCTGTACTTGTCATGATGTGATTCATTAACCCAGATGCAGGTACTCGACATGAACTGTGGATACTAACTATGAAATCTTGTATGTTGGGCTCAACTATGCAGCCACAGTAATGAGAAATGGTATCAAAGTTTACAATTAATTTCTTCAAGGTATTTAAGATAGGGCCACCTGCGCTCTAGAAGGAGAGAGAGAACAGAGGGAGAGAGAGAACAGAGGGAGAAGATGGCAGAGGACTGGCTGTACAAAAATTGACATGTGGCTATATTTGAATGTAAGATGTATTTGCTGGGTACTACAGTAGTATTGTATAATTTCTCCTGCAAGAGGGCTGGCTTCTAATATACATAAAGTATAGATACATCAACTTTTGAATGGTTAGATTCGAATTATTTGATCCAATGGTCCAGAAAAAAGTGTAAAAAAAATCACCTAAAAAACTGGCAAACCGGTTGTTGTGGGTTGCTTAGCTCAATGAAAAGAAAGCAGCCGCCCAATGGCAAGAAGGATGGCAAGTTCTGAGGGTGTTGATGGCAAGATTATGCATACTTCACAAAGCATCTTCCCCTTTTAATTTTCTTTTATTGAGCTCATCGATTCTGAGATTGTTTCTCTCCCTTCTCTCTTCTCTCGTCTATGCTCTCTCCTCTCACAACTCTTACGAGTGTCGCTCTGTTGCTCGTCTCTCTTTACGTTGCACGAATCTCTCTTTAGCTCATTCGCTCAAAAGGTAGATCTCAAATCGCTCTAGTCTCATTAGCATATCTCTAATCAGCTCACTCATTTGCTTTGAGAATTTTTATTTTTTATTAATTTAGGTGAAGCTAGTCTTCTCCTCGCAGATTTGGAGCTTCTAGGTATTGATTTTAACTTTTTAAAATTATTTTCATTTGAGTGTAATTTGGGGCTGATAATTCCAGGGAAGAACCGGAGAGAAATCTTTAAGTACGTCTTTCAAGGTCCATTTAAAAAGCTTAGATTTTTATTCATTCTCAACAATAATTTTGTTTTGTTTTCCTTTCTTGTTAAATTTTGGTGAATTTAATTTGAACAGAGGGAATGTGGTGTGCAAAGGACATCCATAATGACGCATGTTGGTCCCAGCAATGCTTTCTTTTGCCTGGGGGGTTCCCTTTGTGCTCGTTTTCTCAGGTTTTAGTTTCCTTGAGTTCATAGCTATTTTTCTATTCTTAATTATTTTTTGATTGTCGTTCAATCTATTAAAATCATAAGTAAAATCATATAATTACAAATCCGGCTGAAATCAATTACATTAAAATCATGTAATTACAATCTATTAAAATCTCAATTGAATACACCCCCTTTAATTACCAAAAAAATAACTGTCTGGGAAAGCTGGAAATATGAAGAAAAAAAAATGTTTGGTCTGTTTGTGTCTGTTTTTCATTTTGGGGAATGGTTAGAGATTGTTTTAGTTGGTTTTGGAATCTCTGAATTTTAGAGTGTGAGATTTTTTATTGTTTATTTACAGGTTTGATGCATCTTATATATGTACATCTCTATCACATGTAATTTGGTTGTGTTTAATTCATCTTCAAAGAAGTTTTACCTGCAATTGGAAATGGTTTCTGCTAGTGCTTGGGACTTCAATCGAATGCAATAATATCAATACTTTTTACTTCTTTCTTGATCTGGAGCCTGAGGTAATCCCGACTTCCCCTTCGAGACTGCCTCTAACTTATCTTGGATATCTCTGTTGTACAAAGATCTTCAATTTTTGTGGATTTTTTTTCCTTATTTTGTTAAATTTAATGTTAATGTCCTTGTTATATATCTGAGATTATGTTAAAAAGAGCTCGCGCTAATTGTTGTATGTGGAAAAGGGCTCGAGCCTGTTCAGTCAGAAACTGTTTTTGTTGTATTATGTTTGTAAGTACTTTAAGAAGCCACTTTGCTTCTTATATTTGTACGGCTGGTTGATATTATCAGCCTTTCCCCAGAAGACAACTCTTCTATATATGTATCAAGGAAAGTAGATTATCAAGGTAGGAAAAACAAGTCTGGTCCCAGAAGCAGAAGCCGACCTTTGAGTTCACCATCACTGTCTTTTTTATCCTCTTCTGGTGTTTGCATATTGATCTCTTAGTGCTGCTAGTATTATAAGAAAGTCCAACATGTTTCTCATTCTGAATATGTTACAGCCAATGTGCAGCTAGTGTTGTTAATTTGCATGTGTTACGAATATGCATGGGTTTTTTGGTCAAGAATATAGCGAAGTTTTGAGTGTTGACTTGTAGTGGGTTTGCAGGTTATCAATATGGCTGCTTCTTCCTCTGCTGCTGCAATCCCACCTCAGTAAAAGTATAATGTGTTTCTTAGTTTCAGAGGTGAAGCCATCTTTATGCTGCTTTATGCGCAAAGAAAATCAAAACCTACATAGATGACATACTTGAGAGAGGAGAGCAAATTGCACCTGCCCTTCTCGAAGCAATTGAGACATCAAAGCTTTCAGTGATCATTTTCTCGAAAAACTATGCTTCATCCACATGGTGTTTGGATGAACTAGTGCATATACTGCGATGCAAGGCAAGAGGGGGACAGTTTGGTCTACCGATTTTTTACTGCATCGACCCATCACATGTTCGAAATCAGCAGGGAAGTTATGCATATGCATTTGCTCAACTTGAAACTTCAAGGACAGAACGGGGGAAGTTATGAAGGTGTGCAAGTGGAGAGATGCTTTGAAGGAAGCAGGCAATATGGCTGGGTTTGATAATTCAAACAAAACCGGGTAACGAACTCTGCTATTTCTACTTGTGACCATTTAATTCAAACAAGATTCCTTAAGGCTAAACAATTGTTTGCCCTCATAATTGTAGAACTGTAAGTAGTGAGCTGATTAGTATAGTCTAAGCCTAGAACGATAATTGCGTATGCACTTAGTCTCTTAGAATGACATGTGTAAGGCTCCAAAATGTAAGGCTGAAATAGCCACATGTAGTGATCCTAGAATAGCTAGATTTGTGGCTGAGATTCAATATGTTGTGTGTGAATCAAGCTAAGGCTAACGGTTATGTAGTACACGCCTTGTATGCTCATTCTGATAGAAGATATCTAAATATATTCCTCTCTGCAATTTCAGTAAGAGGGAAGCAGAACATTTCATCACTCGGCATTTCTTCATTCTTCTATTCATTCTCTTCAACATTCCATAACTCAGCTAAAATACAAAACACTAACAATAATCATATTTGCCAGGACAAGGGCCAATTTCGTTGCGAATGTTGTCGAATATATTTTGACCAAATTGAATCGCAAATTGTCAAGTGATTTAAGGGGCCTAGTCGGAATTGAATGGAAAATTGAGCAAATAGAAGGGTCATTATGCATTAATTCACCAGATGTTTTAGTGCAGGTATTTTGGGCATGGGTGGTATAAATTGACAAGACCACTCTCGTTGATGCTTATTTCGCTTATTGTATCAAATTTAGTGTGATTATTTTTTCTGTCAAAGTTATTAAGTCTTGTCATTTCTCTTTATTTATGACAGAAGCTTGAGAACTTAAATAGTGATGGATCTTAGTTTCTCCACTTATCTTGTTGAAGTCCCAGATCTCTCTCAAAGTCGAAAATTGGTGCATATAAATCTTTTTGGCTGTACAAGTTTGGTTCAAATGCCTTCGTATTTTCAGTGTCTTGACAGGCTCACTCATCTTGACCTGGGAGAATGCTCGAATCTCAAATATCTTCTGCAGATGCCAAGTAACATTGAATTCTTAAATTTGTCTAAAACTGCAATAAATATGAAAGGTATGTAATAATATGATATCTATATATTACATAACCAAATATTTTTCATGAACTAGTTCCTTCGATTCTGCTTGAAAAGAGTACATCTAGAGCATGTTCTTTGTTTCAGTTACAGCCCATGAGTTAGTTGACTTTTTTTAAAACCTATATGTAATATCAAAATGTCATATCACTAATGTTTCATATGTTTTTTACTGGCAGGCACAAATCTAATTTCATTCATAAGATTGTTGAAGAGATTTCAACACAAGTATTAAACGCACCTATTTGACTGTAACAAAGAACTCGTGTACAAGATATGAAAGAGCTTTTGGCCGTGTTTGGTGGGTTAGACTGGACAGGATATATCCAATTAAAATGGACATGGATCCAATCTGTTGTTTGATTTCATTCTCTAGTGGGTTTTCTTCTATTTCCAGAGTTGAGCCCATCACATTTCAACAATTGTTCGCATGATAGGTATGGGGGGATTGAAGGAATAGGCAAGACAACAATTGTTAAAGCTGTTTATGATTCAATTGACTATAAATTTGAAGGTAGCAGTTGGGGTGAGCAATGTTGATGAGAGAGTCAATGTGATAAAGAAATGGTGAAGCCACAAAAGGGTTCTCTCTTAATTCTTGATTTGGTACGAAAATTTCAAGACAACAATTTTGTGAAATTTTTTTCTTGTATTTCTTTTCTTAGAAAAATAAAATAAAACTCAGTTTTTGATAGCCGCATTCCATTCACCATGCATATGCCACTTTTATTTATGGGTATGACTTTAGTCAAAGATGGTTATTGGGCCTCTTGGGCTCTGGGGATTTACTAAAGACACCCAGTCGAAGAAATTAAGGATCCAGTAATCTCAGTCCTTGGTTTATAGATAGTTAAAGTCATAGCTGTGACGCCATCAGTTTTGAGAGAAAAAATATATATATAAAAGGAGGAAGGAAAGGTAGCTTGCTTACGGAAAAAAAAGCTACTGGGCTAAGGAATTACGCAGACGGATTAGAAACTGGGATTGGAAAAATCCACGCGGCCCTTCGTAATATATAGCTGACCCTCCTTTCGCAACAAGGTAGCCGTAGGGAAACCAGCGGCTGGATTGAATCCTTTTCGAACTACGAATGACTTGATCCTGTCCAAGCCACTAGGAAGGTACCGGAGGCAAGCTCGATCGAATAGAGCCCCAGTCTCCATTTTTCTTACATAGGAAACGAAGATAAATCGTAAAGCATACAAAAAAAGGGATCCACTAATCCCTGTCATCCCAAGCACCCTATGCCGCCCAACGATAGCCCATCCGGTACCCAGGACAGGTTGGTTCGAGGACTCGTTGGTCAAAGGAAAGATGGAAACAGGGGAGTTGGCTGATAAAGATGGACAGTAACGATCGCGTAATATCAATTTATCGGCCAACTAAGAATCCATAGTTTTCTGGAGTTGGGCATATTAATGACGATTGGTGGGATTCTTGATCATATATCTTGAATTTGTCCAGCCAAATAATCATGGGTAATAGGGTCCAGCTCTTGGCTCGAGGCAGCGAGGTCGGTGGTGGGGTTTTTGTTTTCGTGCCCATGGTCAGGCTTCCTCACCAAGTAACCTCAGTTTTCATTTGGGAGCTTGTTCACAACGCTCATGGGAAAGAGATGAATTGAGGAGGTGGGGAATGTTGTGGTAGTCTTCCTGAAAATTTATGGATTAGTTGGTGGCATGACCCATCTCGGTGCATTTAGATCCTTCTTCTGTTACATGTTTGCGCTCGGCTGCTTCAAGATTGAGTTGGAATGGAATGGATGAGAGACCATTGAGCAAAATGAGTAGCCATAGGGATATTTAAAGTTATGTGTGTCAATTTGCTGTTCTGAATTTCAAATTGATAATAGACCTTAGATTGTGCAACAATTATGCTATGTTTTTTTTATTCCACAGTTCTTAAAATTTTGTTTTCTGATTTATGACTTCATTATTATTTTTAATTGAAAGGTAAATATGAGAGAAAATGCAATGTTATTACTAGTATCAAACAAGAGTTGGAGAACGGAAATGGGAAGAAAAAAAACATATACCAAAACCAATTAACTACATTTTCAAATTCTATGCTCGGCCTATAATTTGTCGAGTAATTAATAATATATAGTAGAGATGCTAATTTACTATACTCATTTGTGGATACCAATTGATGTGGCAGCTCACTCTTGACATTATTTATTCATAGCAAATAATTTGTTTTCTGTTTTTTTGGGACGAAAAGAAACTTCATTAAGAGGCAAGAGCCACGAACAGAACATAAAAATTAAGCCAACACACACTCAGCCAAAGCAAGCAAGTGGAGAGGGCTAACTCAATACAAAATATAGATAAAGACATTAGTTTGGTGGTCCTGGAAGACCATCCGCTTCCGACACTCCCTGAAGAGAACTTGAATGAAAAAGTGTTGGTTAGGCCACGTATGCAGAGGACTAGACTATGTTAGCTTGGACATGACTAGATTTCACGTGAATCAAAAAAGAACAAGGATGTTGTCTTCTTAATTCAGAGGAGTAGATGAATTATTCATAAAAAATTGATGTCTTAAAACACGTAAAATTTAATCATTTAGCTATAATCCAAGCTACACTACAGGCTGATCTCTACTGTAGTGCTAAGTTTTATGTTTCCAATACCCGAGGCCCTAGGGTTATTTTTATGTGTTTAGCCTTTAAGCACTTGGTGGGAGTGGGATTAGTTGGTCCCACCAAGTTTTGGAATCCTCCATTTGTTCCTCTGGGATCTACAAAGATGAGAGTGTTTTTTATATTGGATATAGAGATTCTTCAGTTCGTGAGTTACCCATTTCTGGGAATAAGAGAATGCACGAATGGTGATCACATGGACTATCTGTTTTTAAGATTATTTCAATCAAATATTAAAGAGAAAAGAACATTCTAATGCGAAATATGTTGGACTCCAACAAGACAATTTCACACTTGGCGGGTTTCGAACTGGTGCCATTAGGGGAGATGAGAAGGACCTCAACCACTGAGGTAACACAAATTGTACAACTTTTAAAATGAAGTAGAGCTATATAAACAAACCCAACGTTAAGTCAAAAAGATACAATCCCCTACAGGAGCAATATATATGTACATACCATATGCATCCATCAGGGAACAAAGCATACACAACAGGATACAAACAACAGAACCAAGATAGGGCAGAGCAGTACCCATTAATTTATCTAACATAGTTAGGCACTCTCTAACGAGCAAACTGGACAAAGCCAGAGTAAATTGCAGGAATAACTATAATATTCTTGAAGATCTGGTTACTTGGTCAGGAAAAAAGCATTTTCAGCAGCGCGATTCTGTATTGTGTTTGATGAAATGCATTTTCCTCAGCCCAGAAATACATGACATCGCCAGCAGCAATGCCTCTCTCCTTGACAAAAACTCTCCAGTGTTTTGACTGGAAAACTGGTTTCCGGTGCTTGCCTTGTCTGCAAGATAAATAGAACACATAGACCTTACCCGTTTCGTCTAAGACTCTGACTGGGACATCGTTCTCTGGATCTATAGGGGGCAGGAATTCAAGCATGTCCTTTGTCACTGCTAGTCTTTGATTGACGTCAGTGGGCGATAACTCTTTTTCACAGCGCTCCATTTCTCTCCGGCCGGCCTCTTTTTACAAAGTTTGAGCACCAAACTCAAACTTCAAGCTCCTTACGGACGTAGCTAGGCTAGCTGCTTAGGTTGAGATCCTTGAACAGAAAGACTCTGAGTTCATAATAATACTGGCTTGAGATGCACGTATATATATATAAGTAAGAGAGAGAGAGAGAGAGAGAGAGAGAGAGAGCTCTCTTCGTTTTTTGGGAGCTGGGGGTCATCTTCTCTGCTCATGGTTTCCAAGTTGGGCATTAAAATAGTATAGAACTGATTGTACCAGTAGTATAGAAAATTTATTTGATGTTATTTAATATAAGATAAAATCAAATCTTATATTAATTTAATGCTTAACATTAAGAGGCCATAAGCTTATCACAGGAGGCGAACTTCACGAACTGTTTAATATTTGTTTGTTTTGGTTGGAAAGTTGAATATCTTTGTCGCTAGCGCCGGCACCCAGACACCCTAGAAATTATTATTTTGTTTTCGTCAAGCGGAAACCCTGGAATTAGTTTTGAATGTTCCAATGCAGAGTCAGAGCATGCTATGGAAAGAAAAGTTGGTACGTGTACGTGTGGGCTAAAATTTCACATCAGAAAAATTTAGCTCATCTATCTTCCCAAAAATATAAATTAAAGCCCACTATATTTTCTTCTATAATTTGTTTCTCATTGTTTTGATTGTTGATATTACCATTTTCAATTAACGAACCAACCAAAGTACGTTTTTAAAATTAAGTTTTCAGAAGAGATACCAAATTCAAAACACCAAAGTATGTTCCTCTACTCATCATAAGAAAAAAATATCCATAAAATGTTAGAAGTTGTAGGCCTTTATAATTTCTCTCGAAGTTGCAGCAAGTTGCCTAGGATTTAGAAATTCTTATCATCACAAAGAGAGTTAGATAGACACACGACATCTATAGGTAAGACTACAATTATCCAATTAGTTAATTGATATTTATACTCTAAATGGACTTAACATTAACACTAACTATAAGAAAGAAAGAAAAAACTCACCTAGGCTATAGCCCAGGTTGTACAAGTCATAGTTCCGTGTAAAATATTGACATTGAGTATTTTATAAACAGCCCTGTATAGATACATTAAGCTAAGGAAACGAGATTATCTTTATTCTGCCCTGACCTCCGCCATAAGGTAGTTGACAGAGGAAGAATACTTGTAAATATAATAACATGTGATTACGTAGTTGCTGCATTGACAGAGGAAGAATACTTTTATTAATTTCTACCCCTTTTTAACATTGGAACTGTGGCCGCAAAACTTGAATCTAAACCATTTGTCTTATGCGCGTTGAAAACTTGAATGAAAAAGTGTAGGTTAGGCCACGTATGCAGAGGACTAGACTAGGTTAGCTTGGAAATGACTAGATTTCACGTGGAATCAAAGAAGAAAATGGATATTGTCATATTTTTATGTGTTTAGTTTTGCCTTTAAGCACTTTGGTCGGATTACTTGCTCTACAAGACACATGTCCACCTATTTTTAAATCTTTACTTAAAACTCAAATTTAAAATAAGTTGTCATGTGAAATATATTTGTCATAGTATTATTAACTAAATTACAATACATGTTATTTACCTTTATATTTATTTTCAATCATGTCATTAACTTCCTTAATTATAAATAATTCTCCCTATTAATAGCATATCAAACCTCGTTTCTTTTGGTTGAGACTCCCTCTAACCAATCATCAACAATTCATAAAAAAAATTGAACCCAAATTTTTCTTCCTAAATGACATATCCAATTAGGGGTGTAAAAGATCAAATCTAATCCAATCTTAATCAGTTTCGATAATTTAACAAATTAGATTGGATACGTAATTTTCAAATATTTGATTGTAAGTTGAAGCGCTGGCACGCAGACACCTCATCCGAACTA